TAACAGGCATTAAAATTCTGTAAATGTAATAAAATTTGGTAATTTTATCATGATTCCTTAGACTATGGGATAAAAACCACTTATTCGGTTAAATTTACTTTTCAGTTTTGTTTTTTATACTAAATGTGGGGTAATAAGGACTATAATTTTGAAAACCAGAATTTTCGGTAGATCGTCAAGACATGAATGGAAAATTTCCAAATGAATGGCTTAAATATCGTACAATTTGATTTTTAATGCCAGAATTATGGTATTTTATGCCAGATGTATAACAGATGAAACCAGAATCTTTCTCCGCTTTACAAATTTAAAGACATTGAGATACCCTTGAAACAATCAAAAACAAATAAATAAAATAAAAATATTTATTAGTCCAATGTAATTTTTTTCTTAAAACATTTAATGGTTGCTTCAGAATCATTTAAAAAACTAACTTAGGCAGAATTAGTGCAGAATGTTTTTTTTATTAAAGAGAGAAGAAAGAAGTTATTTAAAAACAAAAGAAAAACCCTCTTTCACTAAATTGATCGTAAGTCACTCAAACTAATTTCTCCTCCCAGGTTTTCATAAATTTAAGTTTAGAAGCTTACATCGATGAAAAATGTTCATTCATTTTTACAATTTCATTTTTCAAGAAGGCCTTTCTTTTGATAGCCTTATTAAAATTGAAGTCAAAACAAAGAGCGGAAAATGAAAAATAAAATGTAAAGTCTTATTAATTTCCCCAGAGAGACGGGAGCCGCAAATCCCGAATCCTCAAACACAAGCCGAAGAGGTAAAGAGGGGAAAGAACTGTACTAAAATTAGGAACACCATGGCAAAATATTGACTTTCCACATTTCTAGAATAATTTCTCCTTAAAGAGTTCTTTCAACACTGAATTATACTCAATCTTTCATTCAAATGTGAATACAATTAAATCAAATCTATTTTGATTCAATTTACTTTTTCATAATACTATAATACGAGGAATTGTCATTGAAGTTTTCATAATGCGATGAATTGTCATAACTAATTGCAGTTAGTATGCTACAAAACACATAAGAACACATTTTAGCAACGCATTCACGAGTTTACATAAATAAAGTGAGTGGCATTAAAAACAGTTGATCTCTTTGTTTCATGTGAAAACTATTATGCTAAGCACTATTTGATAATAGAGAGATTTCATTGGCTTCAAAAATTATAAAGGTGGAAAAATTGGCATGTTTCGCGTAGAGGAGTTTTGATAAATGACGTGGTATTCAAAAACAGTTGATCGCTTTGTTTCAGGTGAAGACTATTTTGAAATACTCTCTACTTTGCTCTCAATTTGAATGATCACGAAAACTTTAACTAACATTTAAAACAGATATACACGAAGAAAAAATGCTGGTAAAATTGCCGTACTGTATGATAAATGCGCATCTGGTTCAAAAGAAAACATAAATATGGTAATGAAAACCAAAATATCGTTATTTAAACCTTTCATTTAATAATTTTTCCGGTCATTTAGCAATGGTTTACCGAAAATTCTTATTTTCAAAATTATAATTCATATTACTACACATATGGCAAATAACACAGAACTGAAAAGTAAATTTAACCAAGTAAATGTTTCGGTATTGGTTAATAGAATAATGGTTTTGGTTTAGAGTTCTATTTTATTATGATAAAATTACCGAATTTTTCGATAGTTACAGGATTTCATCACTTATAAAACTATATATTATTGTTAATTTTACTAAAATCATTACCAAAGCATTTTGGTAAACAGTATAAGATTTTTGTTGTTCCCATAGAACAAAAAAAGCGGTAAATTTTGCATTATCTGGTAATATTGGCCATTCATGTTTCTCAACTTCTGCAAAAGCTTAATTAGTTCAGCGTAAATATTAAATACTTTTAATGGATTTTGTAAGATCAGATTTGTAACTGTATAGGCTAATTTTATTTTTCGTTTTACTAAGTTTTGTTATAGTCCATAAGTTTGGTATAGTAGATAAGTTTTGTTATAGTTGATAAGTTTTGCTAAAATCCATAAGAAACTTGGACAAAACAAGAAGCTATTTTTGAATACATACTTGTAGAAGAGCTTTTGTTTTTGCACACAATTTGTTTAGCTTATTTGATTTTGAAAGCCAGGACTTTAAACAAATACTTAACCAATGAACTATAATTCCGTTTTGTTTTGGTTGATATTTCTCACGTGCAGTCGAACAACTACCTGGGAAAATATTATTGTTTTTATTTCGACTTTATTAATTAAAAATAATTTTCAAATAAAAAAAGTTCTCTAATAAATTATTTTAAAAACATTTAATAATTTTCATATGATTTAATAAAGTTTTTTCAAATAAATTGAAATATTTTATTTTTATTTTAAGCTCTTAAGTAACTTGTTAGTATAGATAACATATATGTCATCGATGTTTGTATAAATTTGCTGTATAAAAATGACTAAAGAAAAAAAAATTGACACACGATCAACTTGATACGGTCAACTTGAGAAGATTTATATATAAAAAAAAGAAGAAAATCTCATGTTTTCCTTTGAATAACTCGGAAAGGGGAAATTGGTTTTCCAGACCAGGAAACAAACATTTTATACCCTAGAATAAGTGCGATATTACTGGTTAAAGAAATTACGAGTTTGAACCATTTAATGAAAGTAAGGGTAATATTATACAAAATGAAAAGATTGTTTTAAGAAATAAATTTGTAGTAGTAAATAATTAAAAAAATTCGGTATAAATTTTTATTACTGAATATTTTTTTAAAAAATTATTTGTAACTTTGAACTAAAATCAAATATAATCTACCTGTTAATGTCTTTAAAACTGAAATTATCACGTGATGATGAATGAATAATTTTACTGACAGTATTTAAATAAATAGTTTTAAACCGGAAAATAAACTAGAGAAATTGTTAGTTCTTATATTATATATATATATAATTATTGCAAACACATTTTTCAGATAGTTAGATGAATTTGACTGTGAGTTATTTTTCTTATTTGTCATTACCTATTTCTGCATAAAGTATGGAAAATGTCAAAAATTAATATTTTAACTCAGTTTGAGGACCCTGTTAAGTGAAATTTTTTTATTGAAATTTGGACGTTAGTCTTTATTGTGAATGATGTATAATGTGAATTGGATGTATACTTTTTTCAGTAGTTAATTTTTTTTTAAAAATTAGATTTTGTCAATTCTAGCTCCATGGCATAGATTTAGTGTAGACACTTGACAGGGAATAATCTATATAACAGATACTTAATCTACATAACTTTTGGAAAAACAAGTTTAAACTAAAATGGAAATTATTCTTATTTAAAAATGCAGGTGTGAATGTATAATTTTAATATTAACAATACAAATAGTCTTAACACAATGTTTTGGAAAATATTTAAACCTAATTAAAATCAATTTATAACCATATATATATATATATATATATATAT